ATACATTTTGAGGTAAAACTTAGTGTATTTTTTTTCTGATAAATTAGAGCATTTAATTGATTATTTTCTCCAGATTCATTTGTTGAGCATTTGGTAAAGACTAGTTCTTTTAAGGTATTACATATAATTAATTTCAAATGGCAGTACTTTCTTGTTTACTTAGCTTCTATATATTTTTCAGAGAAAAAAATTTAAAAAAACTACTGTAAATTATAGTCAATATATAACTGTATTGTATGCAAACCTGTGACTATTGGCAATGTCACCCAGAAGAACAGGTAAAGTTTATTTACTATATTAAAAATAAAAAAAGAAAAGAAAATCTAAAAGGTAGTCAGAGGGTTTGTTTCTATTGATTCAAGATGTCTTATAACTTGTTGACTTTGTAAGTGTTGAACCTTCAGTGTGGAGGACCTGCCCCTCATTTTCTCTCCACAGTTATTCATTTACACTGCAGTCTTCCCTACTCTCCAACCCCACATTTTATCCCCAAACTTCATTTACAGGTAAGGAAAGAGACCTAGAGAAAGAAGGTCCAAAGTCTAACAACACTATTGAGCCAATTCCAAAACACAACCCTCTGATTCACTAAATTTTCTCTTCAGGTAGTACTCAGTCTTTAGACTAAGCAAAGATCACCTGAGGAATTCTTTAAAGTCAGAACTCAGAGTCCCATGCACAGAGATTCTGATTCAGCAGGTCTGAAGTAGAGTCCAGGAATGTGTTAAATAAGCACCACAGTAGATTCGAATATTGTAGTTTGATTTAGGATCATAATCTGAGACAGTAAAAACAAACACATCCCTAACATAAGATAGATTTCATATATATTTATATATAAATAAATATATGTATGTATATATGTAATATACATGTTATATATTTTTAATATAGTTTATAAATTTATACATACACATATATATAACACTAGGTTGTCAGGAAAATTATGATGTATTTTTCTATATTTTCCATGCAAAAATGTGTCATGACTCTCCCAATAACCCAATATATATTATATATGCATATATTATAGTGTATGTATAATACATACATATATATGCATGTATAATATATATTTGTAAGAAAAAAATCTACAGGACCACCAGATGGTGTAATGGTTATGTCACTGGACACCCACATGGCCGACTGTGGTTTGAGTCCCACACCCAGAGGCTTGAAACCCATGCCAGGTTCATGTGTGTGCATGCTCAAAATCCTGAGAGGAGAATAGAGGAGAAGGGATAGTGGTGTGTCCATCCCCTCTTGGGGGTGATTTCTCACTTGATGTCTCTCTGGTGAGCACGTGTGCCCTAAAACAAATCTCTCTATATACAAAAAGAAAAAAAAAAAAAAGAAAGAAAGAAAGAAAGAAAGAAAGAAAGAAAGAAAGAAAGAAAGAAAGAAAGAAATCTACTTAAGGGTTCTGTTTATATTGTGCATAATAAAAGTTTATAAAGTCATCATTTCATTATTCAAGCTATCTTTTCCTAAAGGTCCTCATTTACACAATTTATTTAAGATAAGTCTTATTTTTAAATGATCCAATAAAAAGTATGCACTATGGGAAAGATCCTAACATGCGTTGGAAACTTTCAGCCATGATGATTTTGTCTCAGGAGAAATTGGAGAATTCCCTAAAATTACCTAGGCATAATTTATAGAAATCTGAATCGAGAAACAGGTGTTACTGTTGGAATGATGAACAGTTGTGCTCTTCCTCGCTCATAAATTTCTAGTATAGGAGCCCGTAAACTCTAAATCAAGAGCTGAGTTCTCCACGATTCCTGTCATTTGTTCCCTTTCACTGAGAAAGTAGAGGTGGATGATCGTCACGTATCTTGCCAGCTGCTCCGCACACCCCATGCGCTGAGCGCGAGTATCGACGGAGATGCCCGTGCTTCAGTGTCTCCAACTCACACATGTCCCAGCACCTGGCTGTTGGAAGCCACTCCTGAAAAATGTTTGTATCTCTGTACTATGAGCTTGGCTACAATGCTCGTTAGCATTCCATTTCCAGATGGCTCCTATTACCACCTAATTACTTTAAACCCTGATTTTATTTCAAACAATTTACCATTGTCAAGGGTCATCTCCCAGCACAACATTGCTGAGATCAAATATTTTTCGTTCCAGGTTTATGGTTAGGAGAGTTCAGGAATGGCCTTCTTTAGAGTGATTGATAACACCAGTCAGAAAAATCCATGAATAAACTATAAATCTGAAACTAAAATTTTAATAAAACCATAATTTTATAACAATTATTCACAGTCAAAATGATGATATAGTTGTCTTAAATTGCTTGTAATTCCATTTTGTTTTATTTTATTCATGATAGAGCATATGCAAGCACTAGAAGGAGGGAAGGAGAGAGCAACGCATTCCCGTCAGGGTCCCACCATGCCTCAGTACAACTCTCCAGCCTAGCAGGATCCTGGGCATGGGCTCTCACCTGGCATGTTTTCAGATCGACCCAGGGAAGTAAACCTGCTGTCTGTCATGTGGCTTTCAGCACTGCACTTTACTTTGCTACCAACTGTGCCACCAGGCTGGGCCTATTTGTTTGAAATTTCTAACTATCCTGATAAACAAATTGGAACATGCCATATAAATCTATCCACTTGCTTAGTCATTTCTTATTTCTTTAATTTCAATATTTTTTGAAGGTTTCTAATGTGCCTATGTAAGTTGAAGAGTTAAGCAGATGGATTCTTAAATAATTTGTACCCTAAAATCTGAAGAAGAGACAATTACAACTTTGTGTCCACATTTTGTGACAATAAATGCAGAAGGGCAATGAGTCCTAGGTAACAAGAGCCTAAGAAAGTTCTGGAGATTTTGATGTCTTTTTCATTGTTAGTCTGTGTTTTGTGATTTTTTAAACCTGATTAGAGACACACGGATTGAAGAAAATAAGTCCCAATTTAGAATTAGATGCAACACACTATTTTGAATGATTCTTTCTCTGTTTTTAAATTTTAGATTGCTATAAGCTTGTCCTAGTCACATAATGACCACTCTCTCCATTCTCTAAGGACATTGTTTACCTGGTCGTGCTCACTCTCAGGGCCCGTGTGTTGGATCCAACAGTCAGAGTAAAACCAGTATAATGATTATGCTTAGACAATATATACATAAGTCACTTTTGAGGTTTTTTGTTTGTTTGTTTGTTAAGGTTTTTACCATAGGGTATGTGCACTCACCAGAGAGAAACAGAGAGAGACAGTAAGAGAAAGAGTGAAAAATCACCGCCCTCCTCAGGGGGATGGCCACACCACAATCCATTCTCCTCCTGGGAATTGCCATGCATGCACACGGACGTGATGTGATTTTCAAGCCATCCTGTTTGGGGCTCAAACTGCAGTCAGCCACATGAGAGTCCAACACCATAAGTACTATGCCACCTGCTGGGCCCTTTATTTTATTTTATTTTATTTTATTTTATTTTATTTTATTTTATTTTAATACTAAAAGGCTTAATGAAAACATAATGAAAATGATTAAATCTAAACTCTAGAATGAGAACCTATGCATATTTAAATATGGGGATGTAGAGGGCAGGGGCATTAGGGTGCTTGCATTTTTTGTAAACGTTCCTGACCACTATTCTTTCAGATTTGGGGATTTCCTTCTTTGTATCCCACACTGCTGTCTCCGAGATCATTTTACTTAGGACTCTTTGCGTTAAGAATCTCCTGGGGACTGGTGGCGCAGCAGTGAACCCACATGGGAAGGCCCCTGGTTCACATATTGGGGCTGCTGTGTACCTGCGGGACACACATATGCCCACGATTTGGGCAGCCAAGGGTAGTGGGGGCTCCTGGCTGGAAGACTACGTTGGCAGTACCTCTTTCTCTCTGTCTTTCTCTCTCATGAGAGCAATAAATAAATAATTTTTTTTAAAAAGTCTTTCAAAATACTCTCTTTGCTTTTGTACGTGCTTGAAGTACATCTCTGAGTCATCATTTGCTTCATATGGAAAGTGTAATTACCCTCTGGTGGGATCTGTAAAATGTCCCTGTGTGTTTGCTCTGATGCTTGGCAGGTGCTCAGCGACACTGGGCCCTGCTTCCTTCCCCACGGAGCACTCTGACTCCTACCCCCACCCTTGCCTTAACTCCCCCTGGTCATGTGGACTTGTGACTGAAAGTGGGATAATTTAACATGCCTTTTAACCTGGAAGAGTAATGGCCTGGATCTCCTAGAGAGCCAAAGACAATGCTATCATGAAACACCTTAGATATTTCTAATGATTATGACTCAGGACAATTATTAATCAACCACTTAATACCCATTATCAGGAAGACTATGCTATTACTACTTTTTCTGTAGGCTACCATGGGTAAAAAAAATGATAATAATAATTAATTTTGATGTTATTATTTTTAAAGTTGATGTTATTTCTATAAAATCTAGATATTAACCTCTCAGCTAGATTGCTGAATTCATGTCTCATAATATCAAAAAACCCTGGCGAACATGCACTGAGCCATGCCCTGGTACAGTGATTCATTCGTTGTTGTTATTATAATCTAGTGGCTTAAAACATGAGCTATATAGTCTGTCTTATCTTATAATATTAAGTTTTTTGTAAACTTTGAACAGTTTATGTATACATACATGTATTCATTTAATCCAGGAGGATAATTTTATATTTAATAATCAGCTGGTCCTAATATACTTGGAAATTGTTAAATACTCGTAAGTTATCACTGACATAATTCTACAGTATTTATAGAAGTTTCACACTCCAACTGGAAATTCTGTTGGTCTTCAGCAGGGAATTCTTTTTTTTTTTTTCCAGTAAATCAGTTTCAGGGCCTCTACACCACAATTAACATGTCACTGTGTCAAGACATAGACCTGAAGTTGAGCTTATCTTTACATGTTCTCCCTGATAAGTCTGAATTTCTTGCAGAAGTTTCTTTTGGCTGTGCAAGTGAAATACCTTTGGTGTAAATTTTCTTTAGGCGATTTGTCAGTAAACAGCAGTGTCTACTCACGTTTATCTTGTTCTGCTTCCACTCCGTCACTTTCAGTGTCACTGGGTAAGATCCATGGTTGATGAACTACCTGCAGTTGCTTTAAGGATTCATCCTGCCAAAAAAAAAAAAAAATTTTTTTTTTCTTTATAATTTTTTCCTATTTTTGCCAGAGGGTGCATGCACTCACCAGAGATAGATAAAGAGATGGAGAGGGAAGAGAGAAAAAGCATACCCAATACAGTTTAGTCATGTCACAATCCCCTTCTCTGCCATCTCGCCATGCTGTTGCAATTTGGGGCACACATACACAAATGCCCAGCATATTTTTTAAGCCACCTGGGCTAGAATTCAAACTGCATAGTTGGTCATGGGGAATCTTATTCCCTTAACCATCAGGCTACAGGGCCAGCCCACTTCAACTCTATTTTGATATTGTAAACACCACTGTAAGTAAGCCCCTGAGTCTCCATACATTGCATGTTCACAAATTATGAGTTTCCCCACAATAAAGAAGAGTTCTGAATTTAAATTCATTTTCAGGACGTAGACATAAACTCTGAACTCATTTTTTTACATTCTTCTTTTAATAAGATTTAGGGTTTTAATATGAAAAATACCTAAACTATGTTCCTCTTGAATGAATAGTTCATGCTTGGATATATGCTCATGAAATGTTCTGTATAAAATTGCACAAAGCACACCTGTTCATCATCAAGGTTTCAGATTCCCTTTAAGGTGAATGAAGATTAATGGGAATTAGAAAACATCTTTATTTTTACCTTTCAATACTATTTTATAGCCTCCTTCTTCTTCTCACTTCTTTTTTTTAGAGATAAAGAAGCTTACAGAATATATGAATAAAATACCTTTGTACAGTTGTATAAAGTATTTGTTGTTGTGTTTTGAGTGTTATTATAAAACAGTCCAGGGAACCAGCAGTTAGCATAATGGCTATGTCGCTGGACTCCCACATAGTCGACCGCAGTTTGCGTCCCAGACCTGGTGGCTTAAAACTCACGCCAGGTGCATGTGCGTGCGTGCCCAAGATCCGGAGAGGAGAATAGAGAAGGGATTGCGGTGTGACCATCCCCCCTGGGGGGGTGATTTCTCGCTTCCTGTCTCTATGTCTTTCTCTGTCGGTCTGGCGAGCGCACGCGCCATATAGCGAAAAAAACCTCCTCAAAAGAAAAAAAAATAGTTGCTTGAGTTTTACAAGGTAAAATCAAATAGCTGGAGCTCTTTGTCTAAAACAGAAAAGTTTAAAATGACCCTAAAAATGTGTTTAACTTTAAAATATCTTGGTTATTTAGCTTTTTGGTTCAAATACTAATATCTGTTTTCATAAGAAAAGAAAATTGGTTTCATTATAAGTCAATTATGTTACATTTTCCCACAATCGCTCAGAATATTAAGCAATACTGCTGATTGTTTTCTGGGTTTAATGGCTTTACTCCTGAACAGATAAACAGCATTCAACTATTCTGTTTATTGCAAGTTACAGAAAAAACAAATGGAACATTAGCCTGGTACACTATGTAGTTTGGGAAGAACTTTAAAATGCTGAGTGACTGGAATCATAAAGAGAGTACAAATATTACTATTAATAGGTGGCTTACATGTTTGGTTTCCCCTGGAATAGAGCTGGTAATATAAGGCAGTACTATGTATGTCCACAGCTCAACCCATCAAGCTGTGGATAATTCTTTCTGATGGGGTCAAGAAGCTAAAATCTTGTGCGTTCTTAAAAACAAGAGCTGACATGTTCTTCTTTGCTCACTTATTCAAAAATTTTCTACAAAAACATTAAACTGTGTCTGAGCATAGTACAAACTCTTCCCCAAGAGCTAGTTCTCTGGGTTGTTTTAGAAGAAATGCCATTCATCTTTTTTTTTTTCTGAAATACTTTCACCATAAGCATAGCGAATGTCCAGGGACTAGGCGTGGTGGGAAATAGTGACATGTATAATATAGAAAACAGTTGCCAGCCCTGAATCAACATGTCATTCTATCAGCTAACAGAATAAGTGCTTTATAAACTTCAGCAGCATTGTTATTCCATATGGATAGCTTATTTTTAGATTCTCTAAGTGCAATCAATCAGTGATTTATGTCATATGTAGATGGCCATGAAAATTCAGTATATTTTGAGGGAAAAAATGCTTTTTTGCTCAAACTTTCTCCAGTAAACAGTTTAATTCTAAACATCTAAGTATTTCCCCCCATTGGTATATTTAAATAATGTACTAAACATCAGTTTCTATCTTTCAAAAAGGCTTAGTCACTTTCATTTTACATGGGGCATTCAAAAAGTTTGTGAATATTACGTTTATTATGAAAAAACTATGCATGGGTTTCAATTTTTCTGCACCAAAGTAAGTTTCTATTTTAATTTCATTTTCTCACAAACTTTCTAAAGTCCTTGCATTCCTTGATAACTATAGGATCCCTATAAATCAGGATTCTTGAGCACAGAGCACATGTAAAGGAAATCAAAATAATAGTCCACTCTGGATACATTTAATACACTACTTCAGAGCAAGCAGATGGTGTAGTGGTTGAGATGCTGGACTCTCACATGGCTGACCACAGTTTGAGTCCTGGACCCTGTGGCTTGAAATTCATGCCAGGTGTGAGTGCGTGTATGCATAAAATCCCAAGAGTAAAAGAGAGAAGGGATTACAACACGACCATCCCTCCAGGGCATGATTTCTCACTTTCTTTTTCTGGTTCTGTGTCTCCAGTGAGTTTGTGTGCCCTATTGCAAAACTATTTCTAAAAATAAATAAATAAATAAATAAATAAATACAAATAAACAAATTGCTTCTACTAACAATAATTTTTATACTTCTATTACAATAAAATTTCCTATATAATTTACATAGTTAAATTAGTAAATAACTTTCTTTTTGTATTTATTAATGAAATGTCTCATACCATCAGGCTAGAATGCAAAAATTTTTAGTAAATTATCTTTCAGTAGTCTTTTCTGGGAAATGTAAAAGGACAATTCATATGTGGGATGGAATTAGCTAAGTTTGGGGAGAGACACATACAAACTCATGTTATCTGGAAAAAAAAGTAATAATGATGTTTAAGAATATGTTAGATTGTGGAAAAGTATTTTAAAATAAATGTAAGCTATTTAATTAAATTCACATGACAAACTTTCTATACTACACTATGCTTCGGGAATGCACTCTATCTCATTTTCCTTTTATTTTTTAAAAAATTAATAATTATTTATTTTATTTTATTTATTATTATTTTAATTTGCTATAGGGCTCATGTGCTTCCCAGAGACAGAGAGAATGAGAGGGGAAATGAGAGAGTAAGCCACTAGATCTGGGACTTGAATCATAGTGGGCCATGTGGGAGGAGTCCAGCTCCTTAACCACGATGCTATCTGCGGGCCCCCATCTTATTCTCTAGCTCATTCTATTTGGTGACTTTTCTCTACAAAAATTGTGAAGTCACAACCATGTAAACAACTTTTTGTAAAGAGTGACAGCAACATAAATTACTTTTGCCGACACAGATGCAAATTATACTTACTGGAATGAAATTGCTTATTATCTATACATATTAATCTGTTTTTCCAGTTTTTACATCTACTTATAATGGTATTCAACATTCTTTATTGACTAAGTTGAAGGACTTCAAGAAGTCTGTGGAAAGGTGGAATAAAAGTACAAATTTATTTTGGTGCAAAGAAAATAATTTGAACCATGTGCAACTTTTTTTTTTTTTTTTTGAGAGGTTTTTGCTATAGGGCATGTGTGCTCGACAGAGAGACAGAGAGACAGAAAGCGAGAAACCATTCCCCGGGGGGATGGTCATGCCACAATCCCTTCTCCTCCATTCTCTTCTTGAGATCTTGGGCACACATGCACATGTGCCCAGCATGAATTTAAGTCACTGGGTCTGGGACTCGAACTGCGGTCGACTACATGAGAGTTCAGCAACATAATCATTATGCTAACTGCTGGCCCCTACATGCAGCTTTTTAAGAATACACATTTTCCTTAAACTTTTTGAAGATCTCTTGTACATGAAGGTTTAAATCCACTTTGCACTGACTCTAACATCTCAGTGATTCCCTTATTAATCAGTTAAATAAATGTTTAACACATGTTCACTTAGATCTATATGAGAGCCATGACTGTAATTTTTCTTTAAGTCATTTAACAACATCTATCTACTCCTAATGAAAATTAATGACAAAATAGAATTTCCTTGACGAAAATCCTCATTTTCTAATTTTCTAAAAGAAATAAAACTATGGTAGCAAATGACAGTTATTTCAATTTTAAAAAACTAAATAAATCCCTGTAGAAGATAAAAAGGAAATGAATTCATATTTACTCTGGGGGTGATGTCATACATTCTCCTTCAACGGCGCAGTTGGAACTTTGTCCCACTAGAGATCACAGGATTTGACAAGAGAAACACTGGCATGAAAGGTGATTCTGAGATATTTCAAGGCATAGAATTGATCTCCTTTCCAATTCAGATGGTATAGCTGGCAAATCCAACCTCAACAGACTCAAAACAGGCCTGCTTGTTCTAAGTGCTGCTCTTCCTGTCTGACAGCCTTAGAGACTGTGAAGGTGCCACCTGACACCTCCAGGGAGTTCACACTCCTACTTATGTCGCCTCTGTCCGTCACCAACTAACTTCTTGAAGTTGTTAGGAACCACTCTAGATGACTCTTTTAAAAGTTTTTAAAGTCACTGACTTTAGTTCTTTACAGTACCTCAGTCATTTGGGTTGACAACACTTACGAAATGCATATACAAATAATTTACTACACCTTACTAATGATTCGGGAATTCATAACCAGTGTACTATGCTGCTTCCTCATTATTTACCTGGGTGATGTGATATTTTACAAGGATTAGCTTCTCTACAAAGTTAGGTTCTCAATCAAACTTTCTATGTGAATTTGATAAATTGCTTTAAATTGCATACATTTAAAAACTGAACATTAACACTATAATTCTGATAAATTTTTTCCATACTCCTGCTTGAGCTCCATACCAAACACATGGACGTCTGCTTCCTCAGTAATTTGTTAAGTGAGAGCCAATCACAGCAGTCACACTCCAGTCAGTAACAGAAAGTCCACCCTTTAATCTGTCCACGCAGACAAACATCAAGACATAACCAATGCAATTATTTCTCTACCTCATTCCCTCCCTTCTGTTTTCTGTATGTCATTCTCCCTTTCTTTCACATAAATGTCACCCCACCACATGAATATCGGCTGTCCGCTGGAAGCCATTCAGGGGCTGCCAGATTTGAATTGTTTTGCTCAATTAAATTAAACTCTGTTTAATTAAATTGTCAGAAGTCTTTCTTTTAAAAATCCTAAAAGTTAAAGTTTCTGTGATATGAAATTATTATTTCTACCTTCACTCATCAAGTATCTTGCATGTAAAGAGTATGTAATAAAGAGTACATAATTTTAAAAATTACAGAGGTATTTATTAGAGCTTTTTTTGAGAATTAGAAAAAGTAGACAATCATAAAATATTTCATTTTTTTATTTATTCAAAATACAAATCCTAGACAGGAAAAAATAATAGATTAAAAGAGAGAAAATACATAATAAAAGTTCCGTTAGCTTTACTTTTAGAAGGAAACATATCATCTCTTTAGGTTTGAGTTAGATCTAAACAAAATCATCTAATGTCATGTGGTTATGATTTTTTCTTGTTATGGGACAAAATTAAAACAAAACAAAAACAAAACACCAGGGACTTTGATCTGAAAAGAGCTGTTTAAACTTTAATGAAAAATGTTAAATATATTAAAAATGTAAATATTTTGGTTTATTTGAGTTTTAGTGTGTACTAAAAAAGAGTAAATGTTTGCTAACTTGGTTTAAACTTCAATGCGTCTAACATTTATAAATATTGTTTTTTATCGTTTGCTGATTTTAACAATATGAAGAAATAGGGCAAAGTGAAATAAGAGAATAAGTGAGAAAAATCAAAAGACTCCCATGTTGTGGTTCACGTTCTCAACATGTTCTCATCAGAGAAGAGTTTGAACATTTATGTACTAAGGACACATGGATTAATCTCCACAAAAAGAAAGTAACTATTAATAAGTTAGTAATTCACTAATTTAGATCATACTTATATTTTTACTGTGAAGAATGATCATTTATTGGCTTAAGAAAAAGAGCTAAAGTCTAAATACCAACCAATATTATTGATAGATGAAAATACTGTGTAACACTGAAACTTAAGAAAGCCCAGGTTTATGATGGGCCATTCACGTGTACTTAAAAATTCGAATTCTAACTTAGAAATAAGTCTCATAAACTAGAGATTTGTACACTCCCTGTAAAACCAAAAAATATAGTCTACTCAATGTGCATCAAATTCATTAAATTGAAATTTAGGGTTGATGTTCCAATCCTCCAATTTTTAACCCAAATATATAAAATTTTCTAACCAGAACTCAAACACCTATCTAGTTATTTCTTTTCTTTTCTTTGGTTTTTCCTCCATGTGTCTTCAGTAAATCTTTAACCACTGCCAAATAACTGTGAAGGATTCTATCTATGCACTCTGAATTTCCTCTCCAAGTGAGATTTGGAAGTATACTTGTGTTAAAGTATAGTTATATACTGTTCTGAATAAATGGATAGACTGCATAGCACAGTCAGAAGGCCATTCATACTGGGTTTTCAATGGAATCATTCATATAAGAATATTCAGAAAAATAAATTCTGTCCTGCTGCGAATATTCAAACCAAATATTTGGTGCTGTTATATCATCACCAGACTGTTTCCCAGTTTTCTTCACCTGCAACACATTCAGATGACTAATTTAGAAACCACCATGGTTTGACATCAGACCAAGTTTCATGGACTGTCTACCGGTTATCTAAAAGCTGACAAGTAATTTACAGGCAATCTAAAGTTCTATAATAGAACATTGTTAGGTGTCTCTAGAAGAAATCCAGGGGTCTAAAGGAATTTTCAAAAGAAATGCAGCACATAGTTTAATTATCAGGATAGCACTTTGTTAACAGCACAAATATCTTTTGGTGAGCATTTGTCAACATGAATAAATGCCAATCTAGTGCAGCAGACTGTTCTTTCAATAAGAGCAGTGATTATGTCATGTTTTATGCATGCCCAACATAAAATATATGTTTTTCATTTATTCAGATATCAACAAATGTTTATGAATAAAAATATATGATAGCACTCACTGGAGAAAGAGAGAGAGGGAAAGTGGGAATAATTGCCATGTCACAATCCCTTCTCCTCCATTCTCCTCTCGGGATCTTGGGCATGCATATGCACACACAACGGTGAAATTTTCAAGCTCCTATTCTGAGACTTGTACTGAGCAGTAGGCCATGTGGGCTCCAGCACCTTACTCCATGCCACTGCTGGCCCACAAAAATTATTTTGAAAATATATAATTAATTATCTTGTTCTTATGGACTTGACAGGAAAACATACAACACTGAACATAAGAACAAAGGACAACCTACAGATAGAGGGAAAAAGCCCAAGTGAGTGTTTCATTCCATGTGATACACAGATTTAAGACTATGTTATAAGGCCACCTGCAAACTCACTTCTTCCATGTAGGTTCTCAGTGAGTGTCCTCCACTGGAGGCTTCTCCCTAGAGGCAAAGAGGAAGAGAGGTTGAAAAAGTCAGAAGGACAGAGAAAGTAGGAAAGCATCATGGAGAGGAGTGAGATCTGAGAGCAATGCCAAATCTTATTATTTCTCCATCTTCTCAGTTGATACTTGTGGGATTATCAGCTTGACCACTTCTTCCTCTCTAAAGAAAATTATCATGTTTTTCAAGACAACAGTATATCTTTTAAGTGGATTTTAGTTTATGTAAACATATGATGAGCTAACATGGCTAACTAAAGTTGAGGACAGAATGTTAAATAACAACTGTGAAAAGTTTTCTGTTAACAATTATATAAATATATTTTTAAAATTAGATTAAGCTAAGAAGTCACTAATTCTGTATTCTATAAATTTGTGTAAAGATATAACACATCGATAGCCCAGACACAATGGTACCAGCAGGAGGGCTGCTGCTGTGTGATGCTGGAGGCCATGTGGGAAGGCTCCAGGTTCATGCCCCAGGTCCACCTCAACATGCTTGGTACACCCATAAGTGCATCTGTGGAACTGGCTGGTTGCAGGCTGGGGGAAAAGATAGGACATGGAGACCCTGTTGAGGGTACCTCTTTCTCTCTCCTCTCTCTCTGTCTCAGTGGAAATTAGCAAACAAAATTTTTAAGAAAGATATAACACATGGACTTAAACGTACTTCATGGAAAGAAAATAATCATTAACGTTTATATCCAGCCTTCCTCATTTTACTAGTATAGACTATTATGTGCACCATTTATTAGCATTTTACTGAGCACCAGTAATCACTGAGATTTATGCTATTGAAGTCTAAAACATCAAACTAAACATATATTCCAAACTCATCTAAACATTGGTGGTCAAAATTGTCAAACAACTTGTTAGTTCAGTAAGTTATATTTTTATACTCCATGACCAGAGACATTTGCAAATAAATTCTAAGATTTCAAGAAACAAATTCTAGGACACCATATGTGTTTAAAAGATAACTAAATAAATATGAATAAAGCTTACATTTTATCTACAGCGTATTTTTTGCATTTTTCAAGAACTGTCAGATATATTATCTTTGCGTTTAAAAAACTTTTGCTAAGGAGTATGTGCAATCACTAGAGACAGAGAGAAAAAGAGAAAGGAGGTGCCACTCCCCATGGAGAATGGTCCAACCGCAATCCCTTCTCCTGCATTTCTCTCTCCTTTTGAGATTCTGGGTACACATACATATACATACCCAGAGTGTTCTTCCAGCTGCTGAGTCTTGGATTAAAAGTGTACAGTCAGCCATGTGGGATCCAGCTGCCTTCACCACTACATCATGGCTGACCTTAGGTTACTTTTTTGTCTTTTTATCATTTATTTATTTATTTTTACATTTTTCCACAAACATTTGCATATCAAAAAATTTTTGCTCATACTCCATAGTTTTTGACAGTTAATAAACAACTTATAAATTTCAAAAAACTGAATTTTAAAGATAATGTTCAAAATATTTCTAAGTTTTAAAGATAATGTTTGAAATATTTGTTATAATTTTGTTTGTGATGCTATAACAACAGAGACAGTATGGTATTATATATTTTTGAGAAAATGTTTACATGTCAACTACTCAAACTGTTGAAAAACAAACACCCAGCACACGATTCACACATAAATCTTCTCAATTCAGCCCTGCCTACCAAATATTCTGTGATATGCCATCTGCTAGCAAAGATCAGTCTCTTTTTCTCCCTTCAAAGTCTTCTTTAAGGTAATCCTCTGGTTGTGGCTGCTCTTTTACAATCTCTACTGATTACAATGCTGGACTGGAAAAGTCTAGGTTATTTTATGGTACGAATTCTTTCACATGGCTTCTCTAATCCTCTCTGCCAGGCAAAACTGTTTATGGTGCCAGACCATCTTTCCAAGAGCTTCTGTTGGCTTACTTGAGATCAACCTTAGTTCCATAGTTTTCTAGTTTAATCTTCAAATATGACATTCCAGTCAAAGCCCTGTCCAATAACAAGTATTTCAAAATTCTGATTCAAACCAAGAGGTATGATTGAACTTATGCAAATAACCATTTGCCAAAAAATAAGAATACTCACAAATATTTTCCAATTCCAGAGGGGTCAGGAAGGGAGAAAAGTTTATATTTCCATTGAAAGAAAGAAACAAACAAGAAGAAAAAACATTTTAACAAATTGCTCAACCTATCAATAGCTCAAAAGAAAGCAAAACCTTTAAATTGAGAAAACAAAGCATAGTAAAAAGAAATCTATGTTTTACTCAAAAGTAATAAAATTCTATTTCACTAGTTTAGTCCTATGTAATTATTCTCTGTTCTGTTGAATTTGCAGCATTACTGTGTTCTGATCTTTCCATTTAAATCCTGGAAGTTAACATTCATTGTTATTATTGATATTTCTTTTCCCCAGAATTAAGTTGATCATCTTCTTGCTTTATTTTTGTTCTCTTATTTTTGTATGTGTGTCTTTAGTTTTCCTGGTAAAGCACTCCTTTCAGAACTTCTTGAAGAGTTGGTCTGGTGTTGCTAAATTCTTTCAGGTGTTGTTTATCTGAGAATGTTTTTATTTCTTCTGCCCATAATGAAGGATAATCTTGCCAGGTATAGTATTCTTGCTTGAAACTGTTTTTCACTTAATACTTAGAATATATTTTTCCAGTATTTCCTTGCATGCATTGTTTCTGATGAGAGGTCTGATGTTAGCCTGATTGGATACCATTTATAAGTAACCTGACATTTCTCTCTTGCCAATTTTAGTATCATGTCTTTGTGGATTTGGCCAACTTGGCTATGATGTGCTTTGGAGAAGATCTTCATGGGTTGATTCTGTTAGGGGTCCTTTGTATTTCTTGGGTCTGGATATTTGAATGCCTCTCTAGATTTGGAACGTTTTCTTCCAGGATTTCATGGAATAGGTTATCAATGCCCTTATTAGGTTCTTCACTTTCTGGGTTACCGATTATCAGGATGTTTGGAAGCTAAATGGTATATAGTATGTCTCATATAGTATTCTTTTTGTTGTTATTTTCTCATTGTTTTTGGTTGTTCTTTCTATGTTAGAGGTTTTGCCTTCAACATCTGAGATTCGATCTTCTGCATGGACTCATCTGCTTTCAATACTTTCGAGGAATATTTTGATTTCCTGTATTGCAGCCTTCATCTCTAACAGCTTATGGTGTGTATTTCATCTTTCAGATCCTGCAAGAACTTCCTCACCTCCTGGAACTCATTGTCTCTTTTCTTCTGCATCTTCTGGTGTTCATTGTCTCTTAGCTCTTGGCTCTTATTTGGTTTTGCCACCATAAATATTCTGAATTCTCTATCAGACATTTCCACAAGTTCCACTGTACTGTCTGTGTATAATGAAGGATTGTTCTTTCCTTTAGGGGAGAGATATTTTCTTGGTTTCTCATATTTCTCGTGCCTCTCTGGTGGTTTCTGCTCATTCTGTGACAAGATATTTCCTCTACTGTGTTTGTAATGTGATATCCACTTGTCTGAGTGTCTCCAGGATCTAGAAGATGGGATTTAGAGCTTTGCTTCAGTCGCCTTGGCCCTAAACATGCCAGGAAACACCACAGATTTAAAATGGCTTCCTATCTGAGAGTTTTGAGGTCTAGAAGATGGAATTTCAATTACTATTCTTTTAGGAGATTTTTTTTCTAAAGGGTGTGACAGAGAGACAGAATGCGAGAAATCATGCACCAGCAGAGATGGCTACTTCACAATCCCTTCTCCTCCATTCTCCTTTCAGGATTTTGCGCACACATGCATATGCACCTGGCATGAGTTTTAAGCTGGCAGGTCAGGACTTTAATTGCAGTGGAATATGTGGGAGCCCAGTGATGTAACCATTATGCCATTTGCTCTTCCCAGACCCTAGATTCCTTTTTTATTAAAACTTGAGGAAAAGACATCCTCAGGTTAATTTTATACATAAGAAAATTGAAGCCAGGGTAGGAGGTTGAATAAAGTGTTTAAAGTCAAGGAACTAAGCAAAGTATTACTGGGACAGGATTATAGTCTAACTCTCTTCTACCTAACTGAGACAAAAATTTTTAAATAATAAAATCCTAGGGAACCAGCAGTTAACATAATGGCTATGTCACTGGACTCCCACATAGTCGACCACGGTTTGTGTCCCGGACCTGGTGGCTTAAAACTCACGCCGGACGCTTGTGCGTATGTGCCCAAGATCCCGAGAGGAGAATGGAGGAGAAGGGATTGCAGCGTGACCATCCCCCCTGGGGAGTGATTTCGCGGTTTCTGTCTCTATGTCTCTGTCTGTCTGGCGAGTGCACGCGCCATATAGCAAAAATCTTTCCAAAAATTAAAAAAGAATTCCTACATGAATTTATCTTAATAAACTGTGCTATTTGCTTCAAAGCATGGGGGAGGGATGGGAAAGAAAGAAGCATGTTCATTTCAAAACAAAATTTAAACTATGTATAAACTGCTGGTATTCTTAAAAATTTAGAAATAACAAGTCAAACTGCAGAGGTGGTTATATTTTTTTTCTAATCCTTTTTCCCACTAGCAAATAATAATAATAATTATAATAATAATAATAATATTCTGTATTTTAGATGTTTCTAAATACTTCAAAGCATATGATAGTTTCACTATATAAAACAGTGAGATAAGATAGTTCTATTTACTTAAACTAAAGCATAAACTATGAGAAAAAAAATCCATATAAATCCCCCAAACTGTGAGAAATTTGACTATAAATATCAGAAAAAAGAGAAATTTAATTCAGATAAACTGCTTCTTAGAGTTATGCCTGTCACACTGTCTTCCCACACTTAGATAACTAGTCTAGGGGGAATGCTGTGACGCTACCATGTTACAAGTCCCATGTAACTTTTCTTACAGTTAAAAAAGATTCTGGAATTTACCTTGTTCCCTATTCAGGAAGCTGGATGTCACATGGTTAACTAAAGTTTAAATCTTTGCCCTGGCTGTTTGAAAAACATGTCAAGCCCATGTGCATGTATATCCAAAAT